CAGAACGCATCGCTCAAGAACAGGAGTATACGCGGTTGATCGATACTGCAAACGCTCCGATTTTCGGTGTAGACATTAATGGTCATGTGAACATTTGGAACCGGAAGGCTGCCGATATAATGCAGTATACAAATGAGGATGTTTTGGGCCAGGACCTAGTTGCCGAATTTATCTCGGAGGAGTATAAGGTTCCCGTTCGCAGCGTGCTTGATAAGGCTTTTGAGGGCGTGGAGACAGCGAATTTTGAGTTTCCTCTGATTACAAAGGCTGGTCGTCGGGTGGAAATCTTGTTAAACGCAACACCACGGTATAATGAGCATGGTGAAGTTATGGGTATGGTTGGTATCGGCCAGGACATCACAGAGCGTATCGCACAAGAACAAGAATACACGCGCTTAATTGATACTGCGAACGCTCCGATTTTCGGTGTTGATATCAACGGTCATGTAAACATTTGGAACCGAAAGGCTGCCGACATCATGCAATATACAAATGAGGATGTGCTGGGCAAGGATCTTGTCGCGGAATTTATTCTAAATGAGTTTAAAGTGCCTGTGCGAAGTGTTCTTGAGAAGGCTTTTGAGGGTGTGGAGACTGCAAATTTCGAATTTCCGCTGATAACAAAAGCTGGCAGACGTGTCGAGATTTTACTTAACGCGACACCGCGCTACAACGAGCACGGTGAAGTGAAGGGTATGGTTGGAATTGGTCAGGACATTACGGAGCGAATTGCTCAGGAACAGGAGTACAGCCGTCTGATCGATACAGCAAATGCCCCCATTTTTGGTGTAGATGCCAATATGTGCGTCAATATTTGGAATAGAAAAGCCGCTCAGATTACGAATTACTCGATTGGTGAAGTCATGGGCGAAAATCTAGTCGAGACTTTCATCTCGCCTGAATTTCGACCTATTGTGGCTGAAGTGTTGTCGCAAGCATTAACCGGAGTGGAAACTGCAAATTTTGAATTCCCACTGATTACTCGTCCAGGTACAAGAATTGAGATTTTGCTTAATGCGACTCCTCGATACGACTTGAACGGAAACATCGTTGGTGTCGTTGGCATCGGTCAAGACATCACGGATCGCATCGCCCAGGAGCACGAGTACTTTAGATTGATTGATACCGCAAATGCTCCGATTTTCGGGATCGATACGAATGGCCGTATAAACGAGTGGAACCAAAAAATTGAGGAGATTACAGGCTATCACAAATCGAGCGTGTTGGGTTTGTCGCTAGTGCATACTTTTGTCACACCTGAGTGTAGACAGCAAGTGCGTCAGCTTTTGAACCAGGCGCTGATAGGCATTGATGTTGGTGAGATGGAGCTTCCAATGACAACAAAGCGCGGCGTTTTCCTGTTGCTGCTTGTAAACGCTTCGAGTAAAAAAGATATGCACGGAAATATACGTGGTGTCATTGGCGTTGGACAAGATTACACGGCAAGAAAGCACATGGAGGCTGCTAAGGTAAATTTCCTGGCATCGTTTAGTCACGAGCTACGAACGCCATTAAATGGTGTGCTGGGCATGTTGGAACTACTCAAAGAGCAGCCTCTAGACAAATCAATCGAAAGATATGTGCATATGGCGTATGTGTCGGGATCGCTACTCCTGAACTTAATCAACGACATTCTTGACTTGTCCAAGATTGAGGCTGGACACCTTGAAATCTCGACAGCTCCCTTCCAAATGCATGACTTGCTGGACTACTCGATTGAGATTTTTAAGTTTAAAGCGCGGGAACGTGGACTTAAGCTTGAGTTGAAATGCGGGGAAAATGTCCCGAAAGCCGTGATCGGTGATGTTGTTCGTTTACGTCAAGTGCTGCTAAACTTGTTGTCGAACGCAATAAAATTCACAAACGAAGGCTCTATTACGGTTGCCTGTAGCGTCGTACACTCCCCGGAGTTGCCAGCTCAATTTAAGAAATTGTTGTTCCAAGTTATTGATACAGGAATCGGTATGGATGCTGAGGAGAAAATGCGGTTATTCTCACTATTCACGAAGCTGGAACGCACCCGACAAAACAACCCAACCGGTTCAGGATTGGGTCTTGCCATTTGTAAGCAGCTCGCTGAGCTTATGGATGGATCAATTGACGTTGACAGTGAATTAGGCGTTGGTAGCAACTTTTTCTTTACGGTAATCGTAAGATTGATTGACGATGTGGATCCTCAACACGCATTTTATTCGTCAGACGACTTTCTCAACTCATCGACAGCGCTGCTTTCACCCCCTGGAGCAGTACGCACTGGAGACAATGGTGATACTGCGTCCGTGAGGATAGAAGTTCCTAAGCACGCACGCATCTTAGTTGTTGAAGATAACGAATTTAATTGGGAAGTGGTGAAATGCTTTCTTCAACAGGATGACCACCTGCTTCAATGGGAAGTGAATGGCCGTGATGCAGTCAAGGCATATACTGAAAATCATACGGAATTCGATCTGGTCTTTATGGATTGCGAAATGCCAATTATGGATGGATATGCTGCTACTACGGCGATTCGAGCATTTGAGCAGAAGCAAAACCTTCCCCGCATCCCTATTCTTGGTTTGACTGCATATGCAATGAGCGGCGATCGACAGAAGTGTCTCGATTGCGGCATGGATGAGTTTATGGTTAAGCCCATATCGAAACTTAGCCTTCGAAAGGCAATCCGGCAATGGATGCGAATCCGCTATCTTGGCCAACAAAAGGCTGCACTTGAAGCTGTGGCTAGCGAATCGGTGGCTGAGAGGTGTTTTGAGCAGCAACCTGTGACCCTACAAGGAGCCACTTTGCCCAGTGCTAAAAGCCCCATACAGAGGAATTCTATGCTGTCTCCATATGTCCCCAGTCCCATACCATCTTTCGAAAGTGACCTTGAAGATGTAACGCTTATGGATGTGACGTCAACTGTTCGACTTGCGCCTGCTTCTCGACACATGCAGCAGCTGGATCTTGCACAGGCAATTTCAAATTTGGAGCTTGATGATCCCATGTCGATCGGTCTCCAAAGCGGCCGAGCTGTTCGAACTGCGACGCCTACTACGTCAATCTTCAGCTTAGGCCCCTCCGTGACCCATACTTCCAGACAGACAAGTACGAGCGAATTGCCGGACCTGCTCAGGTTATCCCGAAACTCAAGCGGTGCTTCAACAGTAAGTCCACCAGAGCCAGAGAAACCACCATCTGAAACATCTGCTACGCTACCTTATGTGAAAACACCCTTCGTTGAAGGGTTAAGTAGCCCAATACAACATGGAATGCGCGCCGCATTGCCAGCAAACCCAACTCTATGGAGCCACCCACCGTTTTATTCGGGGGATATGCTCTCTGGACAACAAGAGGCGTGGTCTAGTTTCGAGCCTCAGAAGAAGGTTAGCTTCCACGAAGAAGTTGACTATGAGTCGACTCGCCCCAGTAGAGGCGGATGTAGCGGTAGCAGCAGCAGTGGTATACCCTTTGCTTTGAAGCGCATCGAAAGTGGCGAATCAGTGGACGACGAGATGCCCGCTGTGTCTAGCGCTCAAAGCAAATTTACTCTTTCCCACTCCATTGATCCGATGACCATCAAGATTCCAGAAGGAGACCCTGTAAACTACACATTGGGAGTGGACCAGTGCGGAGGACACGAAGAGCTTTTTTTGACCCTTTTAAAAAAGTTTGCCACGACGTCGGAGGCAATCACATCTCGGGTCATGAAGGCCCACGAACTGAATGACTTTGTCACTGCGCGCCGCGAAGCACATTCACTGAAAGGGTCGTCTGCTTATGTTGCTGCTCTTCGTATGTCAAAGTGTGCTTTCCGCGTTCAAGTTGCCTTTGAACATTTAATGGCTCAGCAAGCAACCGGTGAAGGCTCCGACACTTTGGCAGCGAAGCAGATCGTGGACGACTCGGTTGAGCTCCTTGCAAGAGAACAACGATTACTGCGTGGATATCTCCGTCGCAACTTCGAGTTTGATAATGGAGCAGAATCGCCGCAAAAAATGTCAGGCCAAGAGCTTGATAATCAAGACAAACAAACTAGCCAATGCATTCTCATGTGAAACTTTGAACGCGATGAGTGTACAGTATGTGAAGTATCAAAGTGTCCAATAGAATACGAGCAGATTGTCAAAACAAAGCTGTTAAGAGTGTTCTAATCCTCCATTACACTATAGCCTTTCATATTCACTCTAATTAGCTGGTTTAAGTGCTTATGCGACTATCGGTTACGGTGCAAACGAGCCGTTCTGTGGGTGATACATGTCAGCATTATTAAAATTAAAATTATGCCAAGACGATCCGTGAACGATGGGAACAAGTTCACAGGACTTTGTGGCGATAAAGAAGTCAGCGAGGACAGCGGTCGACCGAGTGTGTTGCGAGTTAAAATAATCTCAATGGGAGAAAGTGGCGTTGGAAAGAGCTGTGTGATCAAACGTTACTGTGAAGAAAAGTTTGTGAGCAAGTATATCTCGACTATCGGTATCGACTATGGAGTAAAGCCTGTGATGGTTAATGAAATTGAAGTACGCGTGAATTTTTGGGATCTCTCAGGCTTACCCGAATACCTTGAGGTGCGAAATGAATTCTACAAAGACACTCAAGGTGGAATACTTATGTTCGACTTGACTTCGCGAAAAAGCTTCGAATCCTTGGACAGTTGGTTGCGAGAAGCTGCTAAATTTGGAGCCGGAAAATTTCCTTGCATTTTGTGCGGGAATAAAGCTGACCGTTCTCGTGTCATCCATGAAGATGAGGCAAGAGCATACGCTAACAACAAAGGATTTGAGTACTTTGAGACTTCTGCATGCACTGGTGTCAGTATATCGGAGGCCTTCCACTCCCTATTTAGGACTGTAGTTAATAGTATACAAAGTGATTCTGGACTTTGAAGGATTTCGAATGGACTAACGCAATCACTTTTTTCATCTACATAAAATCTGCCAGCATATTAACGTAATTAATGCAGCTCAAGTGATATAACCAACTTAACAATGATCCTTGATATGGTCATACTAGGTCGGACCCCAAGTGAGCACCAGCATTGTGCTTTCCTTGGGTTTGAAGGATCTCCGTGATGCAATTCACTCCAAAATTTGCCTTATCCAGCCTACAACCATTACTACGATGACTGTCATGATATTGAAATACCTTGCCATCACGCTTGCATTCTCAGCGCTTCCTTTTGACGCTACAAATGGCCAAGACTCTGATGAAGCTTCGTCTTTGTCAAATCTTTTGCGAGCCACTGACAATGACATCGTGTTCACAGCCGAGTCAGCGAGCATGGACGATACCAATCCACTCTTCGAGGCGAATACTCGCATTAAAGGTTGCAAATGGTGGCAATATTTTGTTCCATGGAGTTGCTGCGGAGCCAACAGTTGCTAAGAGAAGAAGTCAGCAGCTGTTCATTGTTTTTTTTTCCGGCAATTGCATAACTACTTTTTAATACATTCCAACGATTTTTATATACATTTTTTGTCTCCTCTGACGTTTATTAGCTGACTGACCCCTTCGTTGAGTAGAAGTTCCACAACAAACCTTTTTTTTCCCAATTTTTTTTTGCGGGACAAAACGCTTACCATGGCGTCTTCAAAGGGGAAACGTGGTCGTCGCGCGTCCAACGGTGCACCAGACCGACTACCAACGAATCTTACGCTACAAGAGACCACAACAGATTCAAATGAAGCCTCGAAAATTGCTTGGCCATGTGCACAGGAGCTTTTTCGCATGCTGAATGACGCCAATGCGCCGGCCCTTGGTGTGAGCCCTGATGGCTGCGTGGTGCTTTGGAATCCGCGCATGGAAGACATAACAGGTTTTGAGGCTAAGAGCGTGGCTGGTCGGCCATTTTCAGAGTTTGTGTACGGTAAACAGTGTAAACAGGAGATTAAAAAGACCATTGAGGATTGTATAAAAAGCAAGCAACCAGTGCTAGAGCTGCGCATTCCGTTGAGAAACACTAAAGGCCGCAGTGCTCAAGTGCTGACTAGTATGACGCCACTTGTAGACAAGGACGGTTTGTGTGTGGGCGTTTATGGCGTCGGTCAGGATGTGACGGAGTGGGCTATCCAGGAGAAACAGTACGCTACTGTTATGATGCAGGCGAATGCACCTATTATTGAGCTGGATAAAGAGGGAAATATAACAGTGTGGAATTCAAAAACTGCTTCAATGACAGGCTATGCTAGTGTAGATATGGTGGGCGAACCGCTGCTACCCGTTGTAGACGAGAGCTTTCGAAAAATTGTTTCTGAGAAAATCGGTCAAGCACTAACAGGCATCGCAGGTGCAGATTTTGAGCTGCCATTGGTAACAGCGAGAGGATCAAGAGTCGAGATCGTGTTATGTTTGACACCAAGATTTGATACGCTAGGGTCGGTCATGGGAGTTGTCGCGATTGGACAAGATGTGACAGAAAGAAATACCAAAGAGATGGAGTATAGGAAGCTCATTGAAACGGCTAATGCACCAATTTTTGGTGTGGATACGCAAGGTCGTGTAGTCATTTTTAACACCAAGGCATCGCGAATAAGTGAATACTCGCCTGATGAAGTCATGGGTGTAGATCTCGTAGACACTCTAATTTCTGAAGAGTTCAGGCCAGCGGTTGCTGCTGTTTTTCAAAGTGCATTTAAAGGGACTGAAACTGCGAACTTTGAATTTCCGTTAGTTACTAAGACAGGTCGACAAGTGGAGATTTTACTGAATGCTACCCCGCGTTATGATCACACAGGAAAACTTGTTGGAGTTGTCGGAATTGGGCAAGACATCACGGACCGTATAATTCAAGAGAAAGAGTATAGCCGGTTGATTGATACAGCAAATGCCCCAATCTTTGGTGTCGATTGTAACTTTGAGGTCATAATCTGGAATAAAAAAGCAGCTGCAATCACTGAATATACAAATGCAGACACGATTGGCCAAGAAATATTCAGATTTATATCCGAGGACTTCCGTGATGCGGTCGGCAAGGTTTTGTCAAGAGCTATGGAGGGTAAAGGGACTGCGAACTTTGACTTTCCACTCATCACAAAAAGCGGTCGGCGGCTGGACATTCTGCTCAACGCAACACCAAAGTACGACCATTTTGGTAACATTTGCGGGGCTGTAGGGATCGGTCAAGACATCACGGACAGACGCGCACAAGAGCAAGAGTACACTCGACTTATAGATACAGCAAATGCACCGATTTTTGGAGTGGATGAGAACGGGTGTGTTAACATATGGAACCGAAAAGCTGCTGATACGACACAATATTCAAATGAAGAGGTACTCGGGGTCAACTTGGTTGATAACTTTATTCCGGACGATTTCCAAGAGGCAGTATGGACAGTGTTTTCTCAAGCGTTAAAAGGGCAAGAGACAGCAAATTTCGAATTTCCGCTCATTACCAAGGATGGCCGTCGTGTAGAGATTTTGTTGAACGCCACTCCGCGTTACAATGAGAAGGGTGTGGTAATTGGCGTTGTTGGTATTGGTCAGGACATTACTGTACGAATGGCACAAGAGAAGGAAACAAATAGACTGATTCATTCGGCAAACGCTCCGATTTTCGGCGTAGACCAGGACGGTCGCGTCAACATTTGGAATCTAAAAGTGGCAGAGATTACTCAGTATTCATCCAAAGAAATAATGGGAAAGGATCTAGTGAATAAGTTTGTGGCGAAGGACGATCGCGAATCTGTAGGGAAACTGCTGCGGAAAGCTCTTCATGGAGAACAGACTGGTAACTTTGATTTTCCTCTCATTACGAAAACTGGTCGGCGGGTTGAAATTCTATTAAATGCTACTCCCAGATGCGACGAATTGGGACAAATCTTCGGCGTCACTGGCATTGGCCAAGATATTACGGAGCGTATTGCTCAGGAGCAGGAG